ATTGCTGGTAATCAAAAAACCTCTGACTATGTCATACCCAAAACCAAGACCTATATGTTGAGGCTTACTTGTCTTTCCTGCCAATCAAATTGCCACTATTATCCATTATGTAGTCTAGTCAGTTCCATTCAGGTGCTCCATTCAGGAAAAAGTCAATTCAAAACAGAGTTTAGGACAAAGTTGTTCTTTTTTTTTTTTTTTAAAGATTGTATTGGGGAATTGGGGAAGGGAACAGTGTTGGGGAATTGGGGAAAGGGAACATTGTGTTTTTCCAGGACTCATCAGCTCAAAGTCAAGTTGTTGTCCTTTAATCTTAGTTGTGGAGGGCTCAAGCTCAGCTCCAACTCCAGTCGCCACTTTCAAATCTAGTTGTGGGGGGCACAGCCCACCATCCCATGCAGGAGTTGAACTGGAAACCTTGTTGTTAGGAGCACGTGCTCTCACCAGCTGAGCTTTCCTGCAACCTGTTGGCAGCTCAGCGGCAGCTCAGCTCAGGTGCAGCTCACTGGCCCATGTGAGAATCGAACCCCTGACCCTGTTGCTCAGAGCTCGCACTCTAACCAACTGAGCCACCCACTCGGCCCTAGGACAAAGTTGTTTTGATTAAGCTACTTCAAGTATCTCTTTTGGGCTTTCTTTTCTCTTTTTTCCGAAAGCCCCTTCTCTTGCATTTCTGTCTTCTTTAAAAGCCAAACAAACAAACAAACAAAAAACCACTTTGCCTGGCATTTCAAACCAATTTCAATTTCATTGTAAATGTAAATATTATTGTTCATTAACCAAGTTTTACCTAAATACACATGTAATTATAAGCTTATTTGTAGATCAAGTAGCTCAGAATATTTGACACAATGAAATCAAAGTAATTATAAATTAGCAATGTGTGTAGAAGTGCTTTTTTAAACAGAAAAGCCCTATACAAATGTCATATATTATCTGCATTTATTATCATTACCTAAGAATTGCCATTGAGAATTGGTGACATTTAATATATACTATTAAATGTTACCCAGAAACAGTAAAATCCTGGGTCTTTAAAAAAAAAATTCAAACAAGATATGCATCTATGAGACCTTTAGCTAAATTATCCCCAAATGAAGCTGTTTATCAAAAGATGATTTTTCTCCCACTCTCTCTCCACCTCAATTTGCATCGCTTTTAAAAATATTCTGAGCTGATGCAGGCAATTTCTTTGAGTCGCCTTCACCACCAGCTGTACGGAATACATTCGACGTTTTTCAAGTCCTGAAGCAAGTGAGGGCTCTTCATACATACAGCTGAGCACACAGGCTGATAACTATGGCTTTTTCACTGCTGTGAAGGGGAAAATGATATTCTACATAGGAAAGTGGCTACCCCAGGAAACCAGGAACCCTCCTACCCTAAAAGCAATAACTAGGAATGAGGTTGGTTTTCTTTTTAAAGAGTTCTCTGCTATTACCAAAAGCTACCAGAAGAAAAAGAATGTGGATGAAAATAGCTAGTTTTGTTTATAATATTTTCAGGAGTTACTGAATATGCAGTATGTTTCATTCCTGTTTCAAGAGGGTTGTTTTGGTTTTATTCATATGAATGACATGCCCATCAGTCTATCACTGATGTGATTTCTTTTTTGGCTTAGAGTGAAAGTATAAATCAAATATGCTTTATTTATGAACTCCAGAAAGATTGCATTTAAAATTATTCTTTTGTAATTTATTAAGATAACAGTTGCCTTGTTTCTTAGAAATGATTACGATATTATTGGCTCCACTCATTGAAATCAGCAATAGTTAAATTTATTTATAAGGCAATTTAAATTATTAATGAGATAATAAAATATGCAGGTATTATGTTTGTCTCTAATACAATTTTGAATGTAAAATATTGCTGGGTTGCATACATTATTTTGAATCAAATTTCTACCTTGAAATCCCTAATTAAATGAATTCTAAGTGAAGACACAGATACTTAAGATAGTAAAACAAAGCACATTTTAACAGAAATTAAATATAAATCCCCCAAAAGGGATTTGGGAACTTTAGTTGCCATTGTCCCAGGATTAAAACTGGGACAGAGTTTTATTGAACAACTGGTACTTCTAGCGCTACCATGATTCAGTGCTGTCGTTTGTTTCACTTACTCAAAAAAAATCTCTGTTGAGCATCTACATGGTCTAATATTGTACCAGACAACTCAGGAAGCTCACAATCAAGTAGAAGTACCAGACACCAACAAATCATTTTAAAGCACATGCCTGGTACACTGAAGAGTGTACGTACAAGTGGGAGAGTATAAAAGGGGGCCCACCCAAACCGCCTGTAAAGAAGGGAGACTGGGGAGTCTCCTGAAGGAGGATATATATGCCCAGGGTAAGGAAGAGTTCAATGAGGGGTAAAGGTCAGGGATTGTGGGGATTAGGGTAATGGTTGGGAATGATGTTTCATACAAAGGGAATAAGATGAACAAAGTCGTAAAAGCAAAAAACAACACCGTGTTTAGTCACTACAAGCAACTTACCGCCCCAGACAGTGTACCATGGACTTGGGCCTGACTACCGGGGCTTGAATCCTGTCTCTGCTATTTGCTAATTCTGTGACCTTTGACATATGTTAACCTCTCTGTGCCTCTGTTTCTTCAGCTCTAAAGTGAGGATAATAATGATACCTACTTCATAGTATTGCTTTGAAGATCAACATTATTATATGTGAAGCACTTAGAATTGTGCCTGGCAGGTAGTAAGGATTTTATTATATGGTGAATGACAGAGAATGTAAAGTAATCAGGCTGGAAGATTGGGCAATAGCCAAATCTTGGAGGTTTTATCTGCCAGAACAACAAGTTTGGGCTTTATGTTATGAGTAATCGGGAGTCAAGAAAAGATTTTAAGCAGGGAAATTACATGAGAGAATTTGTGTTTTTGTTACATCACTCTGGTTTTGTAGGAGGTAGAACCAAAGAGAATGAAATGGACACAGATCAATCAATAGGCTGCTGTATTAATGGAGGCCTGGATTAAGGTAAAGATAACAGGGATGGGCAGACAGGAAAAGTGATTAAATAAATATTTAAGAGGTTAAATCTGCAGAATTTTATTGGTTAGGTATGAGGGATTATAAAGAGGGAAAAGTTGGGCTTCAGTTACAAATACATAAAAAAAAGCAATTCAAAATTTTAAGTAAGGCTAATGAGAAAACAATAACATCCTATGTGCTGACAGATGGGTATGTTTAAGGAAACAAACTGCTTCACTTGTTTGTTACCACCCAGAGACAAGATTAATAAGATTGCTATGGGGGCTGGCTGAGTGGCACGTTGGTTAAGAGTTGGCTTGGGATGCCATCTCTGAGCAGCAGGGCCCCGGTTCGGATCCCACATGTGGGCCAGTGACACTGCACCCTCTACAGCTAAGATGGTGAACAATGGCTCAACCTGGAGCTGGGCTGCCGTGAGTTGCTGGAGAAGGTGTAGGCTGCAGCCCCTGTTGCAGTGGGGTGCCGTAAAGTACCGTGAGTGGCTGGCAGCCGGCGTGAGCTGCCGTGAGCAGCTGTGAGCAGCCGTCCAATGGCCGGCGAGCAACTGCCTCACCCGGGAAGAACGTAATGATAATACCAACATGGGCCAGTGAAGTGATGCCCTCCACAACTAGACTGAAGAATAAAAAGGACAGCAACTTGTCTGTTCCCCTTCCCTGATTTCCCAACGCTGTTCCCCTCCCCCAATTCCCCAATAAAATCTTTAAAAATAATAATAATAATAAGATTGCTATCGCCTAGTTAAAAAAAAGACACTTTTTATTAACATTTTCAAATCCATCTTAACTGGTAATGCTTTTGCAGATTTTCACAAATCATAGACATCCTAGTAATAGATCAAAGATTCTGTATCCATTTATAATTCCAAATATGTGTCTGACTTCCTTCCTAATAATGTCTGTTGATGTAAGGTTGATTTGTTTCATCAATCTTGTTGCTTTGTGTCATTTCACATTGCAATCCACCTTTTGCTATTGGTTTATAATCTCAGTTCACTGTGTTCACTTGCCTATTGAACTCCAAAAATCTTTTCAGACAATGATTTCCCTTTTGGCTTGTGTCAGATAATTTTATACTGTGTTTCATGAACAGATGTGCATGCAGATGTGTCTATGCATATTTTGAGTTCTATAACAAGTGAGTCACTTTGAAAACTCCATGTCTTTTTTTCTGTTTGTTATCCAAACTGATTTTGCTTATTTGAGGAAGAAAATCTCACAGATCTCTGCATTTCAATTAACTGAGCAGTTCCATGATCAAGCAGAGGGGTTGTACCTGGCACAGCAGAGGCCTCTGGGACTTGGCTATAGCAATGTGGCCATTTTAATTGGTCAGTGCTGGTGCCCTTTTGGTTGTTAAGTGTTTAATATCATGCTAGCTTGTACTCATGGTGCAGGATCTTCTGCACAGAAGAATTTTGTTTCAGCAAGCAGAGATTTATTTTAAGCAGTTTTATTGAATTCTATCAGTAATAATCTTTTCTTAACCTTCAGACTTTTTCATTCATAAGTAAACTGTTGTTATTACTAAAAACACTGAGCCCTATTTGACAATGGAATATGATGAGTGAAATCTATTTTTTAGGGAAATACATTTTCATCTTATACATTTTTTCAAGGCATCAAATGGTTCCTCAATACAGAAGCATTTGTAGGTATAGATTCCCTGATAGTTGCAAGCATTATGTAAAAAGTTTAGAAATTGATGTATTAAGTACATATATAAGTATATTGGTTATAGTAGCTGATGTTTTGTAGTTTCTGTAAGTACTGGCCCTTTGTTATACCCCACTGAAGCTAGTAAAATAATTTTAATAAAGAATGTCAGTGTTCCCTTCTCAAACAGGCCTTTAATTTCCTGCTCATACTCAGCTATATAACCTTTCTCAAAATAAGGAGTTTCTTACAGTTTTCCACTTAGAAAATATGTAATGTTACTATTTGCATTAGTTGCTGTGGTATTTTTAATGTTTATTATATGCTGCAGGTATTCCTGGCGTCACCAACTAAGGGAATTTAAATGTGAATATCGAGTTGTAGCGCTGGATTTGAGAGGCTATGGAGAAACAGATGCCCCCATTCATCGAGAGAATTATAAATTGGACTGTCTAATTACAGATATAAAGGATATTTTAGACTCTTTAGGTAGGTTACTTAAAAAAACTATTAATTCTTTTTAAGGGACTAATATTCAATACATTGTGAATTGATAACCTCATTTCTTGGGAGAATGCATTTTCCACCTACCTGAGCTGTCGTCTTAATCCTATCACCATGGTTTCGGGTATGTAGCATGAAATATTTACACAGGGAATTTAAAATAATACATCCAAAATAACTATTCAGTCACCAGCCAAGAATGACTTTCAAAATTTGTTTTTAAAAATAGACCTGCTGTTAACTATTTATTACTTTCAGACCTGGTTATTGGAAATTTGAGTCTTACACTCGGAAAATTTATGTCTTCAGACATAAATATTCATTTAAAAATGTTATAAGATGCAGAAGTACTTGCATTATCTTTCTTGTATTGACCAGCTAGTGCCACTATAATATTTTGTAACAAACTACACCAAATTCAATGGCATACAGCCATAAGCATTTATTCCTATACTCATGGATCTGCAGATCAACCGTAGGCTGGACCCCTCTGGGTTTTTTCCTCAGACTACAGGCTCAACTGGGACTGGCTTCTCACTGTGAGTTGGGCTGGAGCACAAGCTAAAGGGGAGTAGCTCCCTGGTTGAAGCTCTTTTCCTGGCAGTGGCAGAAATGGCAAGAGGATGGGCCCAGCTGCACAAACATTTTCAGGTCTCTACTGTCAGTCCATTAGCCAAAGCAAGTCATATGGCTGAACCCAAAGACAAGTCATACACCCACCACAAGACCAAAGCAAGCTGCACAGCCAAGTCTGACATGAAAGGGACAGCAAAGTATACTCCTTCTATGGCAGTGGGGAAAGGGGGGAGTAAATATTTTTAAACAGCAATTTAATGCACTACTTCCTTTTTTACTATAACCCAGCTGTTACCATCAGTATAGTGAGCCAGTATAATGAGAAGCCCATGAAACCAAATTAAAGGCCCTTCCTACAATAATCTAATGAGAGCATAGATCAGGCCATTATTCTTAGAGGAGAAAAAAATGGATGATGTCTGGAGCTGTCAATGCAGTGTTGTCATTTAATCTAATTACAATAAAATAGACTCAGAGACACTGATTTCCAATAACCATATTTCATTCATATTTTGTGTTCAGTCAGACCTGGCCTAAATTTGTCATCATGCAATTTTCTAGGCAAATCAATAATATAAACAAAATGTCTGTCTGTCTGTCTGTCTGTCTGTCTCTCTCTCTCTCTCTCTCTCTCTCTCTCTCTCTCTCTCTCTGTATGTTTTAGTTTAGTGGTGGGATGATGGTGAAAAATATTTACTTGAAAAAATTAATTTTAAGTACTTTAGGAATAAATTGCAAATTAATCTTATCCATCCATACAAAGTAAATCCTGAAGGAATCAGTATTTTAACCTAATTTAAATTATCATAATGATTACATGAAATGAAATGTGTATATAATTGGTGCTATAATTAAGACTTTCCACTAATCCAGTTTGACTTCACAGCTCCAAATTAGTAATGTTTTACTGTATTGAGTTGTAACATTGACTTTGTGAAGTTCGGAGGAAAATAGATGCTTCTTTGAAATAAAGATTTACCAGTTGCACATAGATAGGACATTTATAATTTTACTGGATCTAGAAATTTCTCAACATTCAAAAATAATTAAAATAACCTAATTATGTGTAGTCTTTATCATGATTTCCAAACTCAGGTCCATGGAACCAGAGCTGAGCTGGCTATTTCAGTCTCTCTCTCTCTCTCTCTCTCTCTCTCTCTCTCTCTGTCTCTCTCTCTCTCTCTCTCTCTATATATATATATATATATATAAATATATATATATATTTATTTATATATATATAAACTCTATCCCTGGGAGAGACTCTGGAGTCCTGGGCATCTAAATTTTTAAAAGGCTACCTAGGTGATTCCGACATACAGATTTTGGGAACACCAAACTCAATATCTACACAAAGTGCATAATTAGGGTAGAATAGTGGAAAGATTAGTTTCAGAAACGTACCTATTTTATGAATTAATGATGCGCCCACCTGTTTCTTTTCAATGATGTCAACATTTCTTTCTTGATTACAGGGTATAGCAAATGTGTTCTTATTGGCCATGACTGGGGGGGCATGATTGCTTGGCTAATTGCCATCTGTTATCCTGAAATGGTGTTGAAGCTTATTGTTATTAACTTCCCTCATCCAAATGTATTTACAGGTGAGTTTAAATTTTCATTAACACATCTTTGCCAATGTGACAATTCACTATTGTCACTGACACTGGATTAAAAATAGCAAAATTTAATTAACATAATATTTTAAAAATTAAATGACTAAAATATGAAATTAGCATATAACAATGTCAGATACCTTGGCTTTAAATATTTAGAGTCTAAGAAACTGTAGTTTTGTATTTGCTTTCATAATTTTATTTCTTTTTAGAAAACACTTTACTGTTAACTTGAGGAAGATTAAATGGAAAAATGCAATAACATTACTTTGATGGTAATGAATCTTGAGAGCCTAGAAATAAATTCTCCTCTTGTGTGACAGCTTTGGCTATCAGGAATGGCAGCATTTTTTAAAGCAGCAGTTCTCAAATTTTGGGGCTCAAGACTCCTTTGTATCTTAAAAATTATTAAAGACCCATTGAGCTCTTGTTTATATAGGTTATATCTATAAATATTCACTGTATTGGAAATCAAAAATGGAAAAGTTCTTAAAATTTATTTTAAAAAACTATAACTCCAGTACATGTTAACATAAATAACATTTTAATGAAAACTAACTACATCCTCCACAGCAAAATTTTAGTGAGAATAGTGTCATTGTTTTACATATTTGCAAATCTCTTTAATTTTTGGCTTAATAGAAGACAGCTGGATTCTCAGATCTGTGTCTGTATTCAATCTGTTGCAATATGTTGTTGAAGTATATGAAGAAATCTGGTCTCACGCAGATTTGTAATTGGAAAAAGAAGGAGTATTTTAATAGCCTTTTTAGATAACTGTGGATTTTCTTCTTTAATACTACACAAACTCAAAAACTGGTAGTTTCTTAAAGGTTAGTAACAACGTGGAATCTGATGTCATATTAATGAACATTATGTACTCTGACATTAAAATCCATTGGTCTCTCTAGCACTGTGAATGGATGTTTTACCCATGTATGATTTTGCATCATCATGCATTAGAACAGCGGTTCTCAACCTTTCACAAGGGTCCCCTAAGACCATCGGAAAACACATATTTTCGATGGTCTTAGGAACCGAGACACCGCTCCTCTATCCATCTCCAGGCCCACATGTAGATACGCCCACATACGAGTACCCAGCAACCCCTGTGAAAGGGTCGTTCGACCCCCAAAGGGGTCACGACCCACAGGTTGAGAACCGCTGCATTAGAAGATATTGGTTGAGTTATGCAGATCTTCCATAATTTGACACATTTCATTGTATGATATCAAAGAATCAAGTTCATTAATATCACCTCGATCTCATTTTTAAAAAAGACTAAGTATTACAAAGCTGTCAAGCTCACAGTAGCAGATACAAGTTTCCAAAATTCTAATTTTCACTTGAAACTTTGAATTTTACCATTGACAACAAATACTGTCGATTGTTTTCCCTCAAGTGAAAGGCTCACTTTGTTCATTTTCAAGAGCCTATCTGCCAAATACCTGGGCCTGACTGATGATAGTGTGTTAGTCATCTTTTGAAGTTAAAATGGTGTTCATAAAAAATGCAGCTAATTCAACTTATCAACTCAGTTGCAGAAGTGCTTTTCCTCAAGACAACCATTGTATTTGGGTGTGCAATAGAACTGCTTTATGTGTACTTTCTATTTCATCACAATGTTAAAAAGGCATGTACTCAAGGTTGAAATATAATAAAATTAATAACTTTTGCTATTTCATGAAGGACATTCTTAAGTGAAACTGGCATTTAATTTTATGCATTTATTTGTTTCCATCAAGTGTGTGGTAGTGAAGAATATGATGACTACTAGTATTGTTTAGTGCCACTGCCTCGATTTGTGCTCAGGCAGCAATGGTTTTGTCTACCACGGCTTTTGCGCCATCAGTGCAAATGTCAACCAAATGAGAAAAGCTAGTAATGTCTTAGTATTATTGTGAAATAGTTTTGACCATCTGGATTCCTTAAAGGGTCTTTGGGATCCCTAGAGGTCCACATGCACTATATTTTGAGAACCTCTGCAGGAACTCATAACATCTTAAGCCTAATTAAAGACCTGTGAACAATGGCTAAGAACATTTTTATTTGGTTTTGGCAAAAATTGTAATTTTGTCCTCTTTATTTGGTTTTGGCAAAAGTTATAATTTTCTCCTCTTGTCAAGTTTTCTGAGGTTCAGGTACTGCTATGACTCATAGCAGCCTCTGGGGAACAAAAAATTCAGAACAGCATACGTATTTCTGTGTCTTCCTCAAAATTGAGCAGGTGGTTCCCTGCTCAATGAAAGGAACAATGACTACCTATATACTGTATATTATTAGTGTAAGAGTTGAATTTTAGATGCATGTCCAATTGACCTAGCTCTATGGAGGTAATAGAATGGATTCTTAGGATTCAGATATCAAACAGATACATCATATTTTTCTCAGTTCCATTAGTCAGCAGCAGAAGTCACGCTACATGCTTTTTCAATTGATAAGGACCCTCGAGTAAATGTTGTTTTGGTGGTGCTGCTATATGGACAAATGTAATAGGTCATTTCAGCAAGGAGTTACTTGGACTATTTCTGGAACTATCATCAATAATGGGTTCAACCTTAGTCAGGTCAATATGAGGTCTTCAAGTAATATATCTATGTTTTCCCTTTAATTGTATTGATATCTTTTAATGCAGTGCTGAGAAAATCTTGTTCAATGATGGCTACAAAAAGTATAGCATAACAATGCTCCACTTACCTGGGAATTATAGTTCTAAAAAATTTAACTGTGTTAAATAAAGTCACAAAATTAGAAATGAGAAAAAGTATCACTGTAAGGAAAATAAAAAAGTATAGTGCACAATACATAGCAAGTATGCACATTTAATAGGTATGATTTTATTACTTTCCAATGTAAAGCTTCAGTGTCTTCTCAAAGCACTTAAAATCCTCATCATTCTGTCCCTACCTGACTAGGCTTCTGTTTTTCTGACTCATTTCATGCCACCTCCCCCTTCTCATTCACTACACACCAGTCACACTAGCGTTGTGCCTGCTTCTTGAATGTGCCAGGCCCAGGATCTACTTTCTGTTGCTGGCTGCCCTTCCTAGATCTTTGCATGGCTGATTTCTTCTTACCATTCAGGACTCAGCCCAATATCACACCCCAGAGAAGCCTATTCTGACCACTGCTACTAAATAATAGTCCCTCCACACCACACAACCCTCACTCTTAATCATATTACCTTTTTTTGTTTTCTTTATAGTATTATTATCAAAATGATCTTTTAAGTATTATTTGTTTACTGTGTAAGTTCCTTCTTAATGGAAATCTCTTCTATCTTATTCACTGCTAAATCCCTTCACATGCAGTAGACATTCAAATATTCATTGAATGAATGAATTTTCTAGATACATACATGAGTGAACTTACAGGAAATGCTTTACTTTCTGTTGAGGCCAAATGAATAGGATATTCAAATCAGCTTATAAGGAAAATCTTTTACATCAGACAATTAATTACCTCCCCTTTTATCCCTAGGAGAAGTGCTAGGTCACTGATAATGACCTTGGAAAAAAAGCAGTGTTGTTTGGGTTTCCTGTACCTTTCTGAATCAAGACTGATAAAGTGGAACTTTCTTTTTATTTAAAGTGTTGTAATTTTTCTAAATACCCATAAATATCCATAATAATATATAAGAACACAGAGTTTCTTTCCAAAGAGAAACATACAGAAATATTTGTGGGATCATCTCAAAGGTGAAATTGCCTTAAAAAGAAGTTCTTTCAATAGTAAGTAATTTATACTGCTTGGATAAAGTCTAACATGGCACTTTAATTTCAGAATATATTTTACGACACCCTGCCCAGCTGTTCAAATCCAGCTATTATTACTTCTTCCAAATACCATGGTTCCCAGAATTTATGTTCTCAATAAATGATTTCAAGGTAAGTCAAACATAGTGACAAATGCTAACTATTATCATATAAAGCTTACTGTGGTGATCATTTTGCAATATATTCAATATCAAATTATGCTGGACACCTGGAACTGATACTAATGTTATCTGTCAATTATACCTCAATTAAAAAAAACTAGTGCCCAAGAGGGTGACAAAGTTAGGAATTTAAAAATAAAATTAAGATAGACTGAAGCACTAAAAAAAAAAAAAAAAAGACAAGAATGGTCCTGCTTATGTTGTTTTGATTTGAATAATCATTTCTTGTACATCTGTTATGTGCTGACATTCCTCATGGGAAAAGAGGAAACATTTTAAATTAAAGCCCATTCATAAGAAAGAAAAATAGACAAATGCTCTAAGGCCTCATCTATAGGCTTACTTATTTTTAAAGTCTCTGTATATTTGAGTGCCTGAATGTTGTTCAGTTTTTTGAGAGCCTGTGCCCTAAGGCATACCTCTTTTTAGAGAATATACCACGGGGAGATGAGGGACTATGAATGCCAGGTGAGAGTGTGACAGCAGCAGAAGTGGAAGCCCTTGGAGGTAAACAGAACCCTAAAACAAAGTAAGCATGCAGGTATCGCTGTAACATACACACTGACACCAGGAGTCATGTGTAATATCTATTTCTTGGAAGTTGATTGGATGCTTCTTGTATGTCCAATATGGTATTAGATATTTAGGGAGGTTAAAAAAAAACACATAATATTATTTTACCTGGAAATATTTCTGCATATATCTCTGACATATAAGGACTTTTTTAAAAAAACATAACCCCAATGCCATTATCAAACCTACCAAAATGAACAACTCTGTAATATCATTTAATAACCATTTAAATTTCCTTACTGTCTCAACTGTCTTTATACACTTCATTTTTTTGAATCAGGAACTAAACAAGGTCCACACATTATATTTGGTCATTATGGCTTTTTAAATTATAACAGTTCCATCCTTTTTTTTTTTAATTTTGAAAACAAATACAACTCCAGAAAATTAGACTCTATTTAAGATCTTACTTAAATTTTAAATTTTAGTATACTAGATGTTTCCTGCATGGCTTCTCTCCTCAGCTATTGTTCATAGGACTCTGAAAAACAATAGGAATATGCAGACATACTCATGGGACAGGCTTACCTCCAATGTTGTGGAAAAGGATTGTGTATCATGGGGCACAGCCTTATGCTCCCCTATGACACCTGGACAGAGCCTGGAAGAGTAATCTCCCAGGGGTATTCATGTCGGATTTCTTCCTTCCTTTCTCTCTCTCTCTCTCTCTCTCTCTCTCTCTCGCTCTCGCTCTCGCTCTCGCTCTCGCTCTCGCTCTCTTTCTCTCTTTCTTTTTTTCTTTCTTTTCTTTCTCCTAACACCATTCCTTATTGAAGAAACTTAATCGTTTGTCCTGAGGAATGATCTTCACTTTGAATTTGGCTGACAGCTTCATCGTGGTGTTATAATACTTAACTTGTTCTGCTAACCCTTGTTTTTCCTACTTCATAGAGGCTACTGATCTAGAGGCCTGATTAGGTTGAGTTTTAATTTGACAAGAATACTTTATAGGTGGTGCTGTGCATTTTCTAATGTATCACATCGGGGAAGCATATAATGTCTAGCTGTCTCAGTTTTAGTAATGCTAGCACTGATCAGTGGGCTCACAAGTTGTTAGCCTATCCAAAATTTCCTAGCAACCTTTCACCACATCATTTTAGCATACCTTTGATCATCATTGCCTACGTCCATTAGGGTGTGAAAAATAGTGGTTTTCTAATTCCATCTTTCTTTCTGCTTTTATTAACTGGAATTACAGTTACAGTCATTATTCTTTTGGGTGCCCAAATTATCCCATATTAAGAAAGTGGAAACCACTTCAGGTTGGCTCCTGTGTCCTTTTCACATAAGCCCTTTAGTCAGTGATAGCTTGCTTCCTTAATACCCTAGGTTTATCTTTTATTTCCTGCCCCAGATCAGGAATCAGTCATGTATTAAAGGAACTCTAGCTCCTATTAGTAGGAAATGGTATTTAGAGACCACGGTCTGGGTGTCAACATAATTATTGTTACTGGATTTTTATTACTTCTAGATCTTTTCATTGGACCAAATTTGCAAATACATATTTTTTAGAGAGAAAAAAATCATGCATTCTTTCTCATATTTCCAAAGCAAATTTAAGACTACAGGGTTTTTACTTCTATGATTTTATATAAAACATTTATATGGTTTTAAGTCAAAAGTCTAAAACAAGGTACATTCAGAAAGTTGTTGCTTACATCCATGTTTCCTCTGTTTCTGTCTCCACTCTCTTTCCTAATTCCCCCATAGAAAACCATTTTGATTAGTTTTTGTTTCATCTTTCTATTCTTTCTTTTTAAAAATATAAGCAAATATTTGTATATTTGTCTCTCCCTTCTTACATAAAAGATAATATACTATAAACACTGTTTCCCGTGCTTGCTTTTTTTCACTTAACATATCCTGGAGATCACTTCATTTTAGCATATCGATTATCTTTTCTTGAAATACTAAGAACACAGAATACACCATTGTGTGGCCATACCAGTTTATTCAACCAATCTTCTGCTGATGGACATTTGACTTGTTTCCAGTCTTTTTTTAAGAAAAAAAAAACTTTATTGGGGAACAATGTGTTTTTTCCAGGACCCATCAGCTCCAAGTTAAGTTGTTGTCCTTCAATCTTAGTTGTGGAGGGCGGCAGCTCAGCTCTAAGTCCAGTCGCTGTTTTCGATCTAGTTGCAGGGGGCTCAGCCATCCATTCCATGTTGGAGCCTAACCGGCAACCTTGTTGTTAAGAGCATGCACTCTAACCAACTGAGCCATCCAGCCACCCACCGACAGCTCAGCTCAAGTCGTTGTCTTCAATTTAGTTGCACAGGACGCAACTCACTAGCCCATGTGGGAATTGAACCAGCAACCCTGTTGCTCAGAGCATGCGCTCTAACCAACTGAGCCACTTGGCCACCCCTCCAGTCTTTTTAAATTACAAATAATGTTGCAGTTAATTATTTCATGTATATGTCATTTCATATTGTTGCAAGTATGTTTTTGGGTTTGAGGGATCTGCATTTAAAAACAAGAATCCGAATGATTCTGATGCAGGTGGTTTAGATCCGTACTTTGAGAAATGCTGGTATAGAGCATTGTTTTTCAAGTTGTGGGTGAGGAACCATTAATGAGTCATGAAATCAATTTATTGGCTTGCAGTTTGAATTTTTAAAAATAAAGTAGAACAGAATTGAATTGAAAATATCAGTACACACTATAATAACAATAAGAACTATTTCTTTAAATATTTGTTTTGGACTAGATCATGATGTAAAATGTGTTTGCTACTCTGGGTTGTGATAAAAAAAAAAGTTCAAACAGCTTTGTCGGGGTGGGCTGGTTATCTGTAAACAGATCAACTACAGTTAGCTGGAATATTGGGGAAGGCTTTAGGGAAGGGTAGTAGTTGAACTTGGCCTTGTAAAATGTGAATAGGCACCAAGTAGACAGGATGGTTTTCATAAAGATGAAGTGTATATGGGGGATTAGAAGGGAATATCATAAGTAAAGCCAGGAGGGCAGAGATGTATAAAATGTGTTTGTAAACAATGAGGTCTCTGACCTCTATAAAGCAGAAATGATGAATTGTCAAGGCACATTGTCTATCTTTCTCTTTCAAAAGCCAAAGATTTAGTTTATTATTAGGGAATTGAGAAGCTTTAATTATTCTTTTTTCACTTAAATAGGCTTTGAAACATCTGTTTACCAGTCACAGTACTGGCATTGGAAGAAAAGGATGTCGATTAACGATAGAAGATCTTGAAGCTTATATTTATGTATTTTCCCAGCCTGGAGCATTAAGTGGTCCAATTAACCATTACCGAAATATCTTCAGGTTAGTATAATTTCTTTTTAGTTAAATAAAAGATTTATTCCCTATAGAGCCAACACTCAATTTTTAATATTAAGTTCATCACTTACTCAACTCAAATAAAATATTTTGATTTAGTAAGTTGAATAATCTTGTTTTATGGAAAATTTCAAACATATGGAAAAGTAGAGAGTAGTATAATGGATCCCATTATAGTTGTCACTAGTTTTATCCATAACTCTATTCACCCCATCTCTTCTTTTAGATTATTTGGACACATGTATTTTTTAGTTATATTTTTAATGATCATTTACTCATTCAAGAAATATTTATTAAGCACTTTTTGTGTTCTAGGCTATGCCAGCACTCAGAGTACAATAATGAGCAGAACTAGACAAGGTCCCTAATCTCACAAAAATTATAGCCAAGTGGGGAAAACAGACATCAAGCAAATATTCACAGTGATGAATATATGGTTATAAACTAACATAAAGACTTTGAAGGAAAGAGAGGAGAACTGAAGAAATAATGTTTGAACAAACAAATAAAGATGAGTTAAGTATTGACAAAGTTGGGGGTAAGGGAATTGGCATTCCAGAAAAAGGAAACAGCGTGTACCAAAGCTGTGTGGGAAGATGGAGGGTTGTGGTTTTAAGTAACACAGTGAGGGCCAGTGTGGCTGGATAATAGAAAGTGAGAATGGGAAAAAAAGAATAGAGTGAGATTGGGTCTAAGATGTAGGCAGCATTGGTCATACAAAGCCAAGTAGACCATATAAGGACTTAACAGACATGAATGTGAAGCCAGTGAATGAAGGTTTCAAGTAGAAAAAGAGAAACGGTCCAGTTTGTATTTGGATAAATTCACTCATTATGGAGAACATATTGGAGAAATGAATGTGGGGAACCAGCAGGTTTAAGATGATGGTAGCTTAAAATAATCTGAAAGCAGTGGAGATGGGGAGAGTGGGTTGATTTAATACATATTTAAGAGGTAAAATTGACAGGGGCTGGTGATGGGTTGGTTGGGTGGGGGGATGATAAGAGAGATGTCAAAGATGTCTCCTGGGTTTGTGGCATGAACAACTATATGAATAGCCATGCCATTCACTGAAATAGAAAACACTAGAAGAGACCTACTTTTGAGAAGGTCATGAATTTTATTGATCCTAAACTAGCTGAGTTAGGTGGTGCCTTAGGTATTCAAATAGGCAGTTGGATACCAGGACCTGAAACTCAGAGGAGAGAATCTGGAATGAAGATATATAAAATCTTGGCGTCACTGAGAGACAACTGAGGCTTTCTTTTCAAAAGATATTATTGAGGGATATTATTGAGGGATAAAGTATAGGGTGAAAGGTAAAACATGGAGGTTTGTTTGTTTGGGCTTGGACTCTGGACAGGAGAAAAAGAATTTCCTTTGAGGAACTACAGTCTGCTTTGAAAAGGTTTAAGGACTTTAATTTATACTACCGCCATAATATTGGAATTCTTGGGGGAAAATATATTTTAACATAATCTTAGGTTGGTAACAGTCCCTACGAAACCAGGCAGAAACAAAGAAAAAAACTTTCTGGAGGATACATCTCAACTCACACTCACACTGTCCCCACAGATAAAGTCCCCTGAAGATGAGTTCATAATCCAGATTACCCAAAATACCAATCCACCATTAATGAGTCAGAATGTAATTGCAGCAGAACTTGTACAAATTTCAAATAATAGAATTAACAGACTATAAAATGTGTTTAAATCATTAAATATTTGAAAGAATAAAAAATATGAGAAAAGAACAAAATAATATCAAGACAGACTAGAAACAAGTGAAAAAGGACCAGAAGAACTTCTAGAAATGAAAAATACAGTTATTGAAATCTAAAATTCCATAAATGAGTTAAATAGCAGATCAAACAAGCTAAGAAGAAATTATGAATTGGAAGACAGATCTGAAAACCATTACCTAGAAAGTAACTTGGAGAGATAAATAAGTGAAAATATAAATTACAGGTTATATTTGACATGGAGGATAGAATTAGAGAGAGAGAGAGAGAGAGAGAGAGAGAGAGAGAGAGAGGATAGATGATAGATAGATGATAGATAATTAGAAATCGTTCGCATGTGTACCATGTATGTGCTAAGAATTTTTTCTAGAAATAATAGAAATAGAATGTATTATTTTCAAACCAGTAGAGGGGGACAAGTAAATTATCAATTCTGAAAAAGGTAGTAAACAAGAAAAAGGAAGCAAAGCAGGAAAAATAGATAGGACAAAATAAGATGACAAAAACAATTTCAATATGTCAATATGCACAATAAATATTAATGTATTAAATTTGCCAGTTTTAAAAAAAGAAAGTATCACATTGGATTTAGTCATAATTAATGCATCAGGACATAAAAAGTTTGAAAGTAAGTGTATGGAAAAAAGTTACAGCAGGTGTTATTTTAAATAAAACAAAATCTCTCAAACTCGTTGAATATGGAATCCAAGGGGAGTCATGAGATTATATGAATGAGGGGAAAAGAGGTAAATCCAAACCTTTTTTTTGACTAGCAACAATAAGACTTATATATCTATATCTATGTAGATATATAGATATAGACATATCTTTTTTTTTTTAGCTGAGCCATCCTGCCACCTGTTGGCAGCTCAGTGGCAGCTCAGCTCAGGCTGGGACTCGAACCGCTGTTGCTCAGAGCTCTCACTCTTGAGCGAGCTCTTAACTAACTGAGCCACTGGCCGGCCCGATATAGACATATCTTTGGTAAAATAGAGATGTTAATTTAAAAGATATTTATAGGTAATTTATTAAGCAAGGCAATGACTAGAAAGGCAAACAGATATTGCAGAGACTACAAGGTTACATTTTATAGGATATAACAACATTGTCTGAAGTCCAAATTCTGTTATTTGTTTTTTACAAATAATACTTGTAAAGAAAATTACAGAGAAAATAGAGAGTGACGCATTTTCATACAAATCTATATTTTGGACAGGAGACAAGGAATGGTAATTTCAAAATGTTCTCATTTTATCCTTTTATCAGAGCTAGCTTTGTGATGCAAATCAGTATGTTTTAAGTAGCTATCAGGAAAGACAGAAATTATTCTCATTTTGCTGAAGTTCTTCTACTAACAATTTGTTCATTAAGAGGACCTACATTCCCAAGAGTAAGCTCTAGAATCCTGTTAATGAGCATGGAGAGGAAAAAGAAAAATAACAGGTCTGTGAAGGTCAACACTCACAATTTTATATAAAAGCAAAGACAGTTTTTGACTAGATTATTGTAAGTTAATTTTAGCTGACTCAAGGTCAGATACATCAGACCTTCTGAAAGCTCAACTGACCTCCCGTCTGACCATTCTTTATGTAGGGCCAAATACATCATTAAAAACAGAGTTATACAATATATAACGACTATAAATAAAGTATAGTACATTGTACTTAGGCACAAATAAACAATATTAGGAAGAGAATTACAAACATAACAGACATTAAAATATAAAATTGGAGACAAATTTGAGAACTTTGACAAAATGAGAAAAACATAACAGCCAAAATTGACTCAAGAAGAATTGGAAAATCTGAATAGACATAGCCATTAAAGAAATTTGTTTATTTATTTCAAGCATACAGTAGACTTCAGAAAAGCCAGATAAGCCTGAAACTCCTGAAGGGATATTTCTGGGAAACAGACCTTTGCTTCACTCAATTGTCCAAGAAAAAAAAAAGGTATTGAAGGTATTTTACAACTGCTTATTTGCACTTGGAGATCTGGCAGGCACATAAAAAGATATTCTAGGAGTCAGATCCAAGGGGACAAAAAAATCGTCCAGTAAAAGGGCTAAATACTTACTTTATGGTACTGTCCATAGCTGTATTTCCATGGGAAACTTTGGGGGATCTGGGAAGTCCTAATTTTGAGAGAATAATGTTATCTCCTGCTTTATAAAACCATCTTTGTAAGTTTCCTTTTCCTTTGACATTAAACTTGATATCCTCTGTATCTGTTAGTCTTTTTCTGTTTATCATATTATGGTTCCATTATGACAGCAATGCAGAAGGGAGCTTTTGTTAACCAGAAACCAATAGCAACATCATACTTTATGATGAAACACTGAAAGCATTCCCTTTAGAAATAAAGACTAAAGATAAACTTGGCTGCTATAACTGCTTATGTATGTTCACCACTGTATTGGATGTCTTGTCTTAGCCAGCACATAAGATAAGAAATAAAACTGAAAAAAATGTAACCACTGGAAAGGAAATAAACAAAACCATGATAATTCATAGATAATGTGGTTCTAGGAAAACAGAGAGAATCTAGAGAAAAATTATTAGAACAAAAATAGTTCAGTGAAGTTGATATACATAAGTTCAACATACAAAAATGATGATCTTATACACTAACAGTTAGAAAACCTATTTTAGTGCCAGCCGAGTGGCGCATTGGTTAAGAGCTGGCTTGGGATGCCAGAGGGCCCCGGTTCGGATCCCACATAAGAGGGCCAGTGACACTGCCCTCCACAGCTAAGATGCTGAACAACAGCTCAACCTGGAGCTGGGCAGCCGTGAGTCTCTGGTGACGGCCTAGGCTGCAGCCCCTGCTGCAGTGGGTTGCCACGGGCTACCGTGTGTAGCCAGCAGCCAGCGTGAGCAGCCGTCCAGAAGCCGGCGACTGATCTACCTCACCCGGGAAGAGTGCAATGATGGTGCCAACTTGGGCCAGTGAAGCAACGTCCTCCACAACTAGACTGAAGAACAGGAGGACAGCTACTTGTCTGTTCCCCTTCCCCCAACTCCTCAGCACTGTTCCCATCCCCCAATTCCCCAATAAAAATATTTTTTAAAAAAAAAGAAAACCTATTTTAAAAATAGATACCCCTACATAACAACAAAAAACATTAGGTATGTAGAAATTACTCTAATAAAAGATGACCTGTACGGATTATCAAAATTTATTGGAAGCAGTAAAGAATACAGGCTTAAGGCAATGGCTATTTACTCAACAGTAGAGAAGGATTTTAATAGTTTAGCAATTGATACAGATTTGCTGGCGTAAACTACTGAAAATCAGCCCTGGTTTATCATGTTCATGAATGGAAACTTCAATATCAAAGTTTTTTATTTTGTCCCAAATTAATCTATAAATTTAATGCAACTTTTATCAAAACCATAAGAAAGTTTTTCATGAAACTTGACAAGCTGATTCTAAAATTCGTATGGGAAATCATAAGGCTGAGAATGTCCAAGATAATTTTAAAGAAAAGAATAGGAGAGTAACTAACTCTATTAGATATTAAGGCTTACAATGAAGCTATAAAATAGAATATGTTGTTGACTCTTGTATAGACAAATTGACTAATGGAACAGAGAAGAAGCCCAGAAATGGAACCACATATATGGGAACTTGGTATGGCAAAGAGCATTTTAAACCAGAGGTGAAAAGATTCAATACATTTCGCTGGAGCAATTGGATATCCATATAGAATAAAATGAAATTAAATCTCTATCTTTTACCAAACAAGCGAACAGAAAAAACCTTGGGGAAATAAAAAACCTAAATGTGATGAGCAAAAGTTAATAATGTCTAGAAGATAATATAAAAGAAAACATTTATGACTTCAGATAGGAAAGATTAATAAAACACAAACAGCTCAAATTATGAAGAAGATATGAACATGACTACATTAAAATTAAAAAAAATCTATATATCAAAAGATATTATAAAATGATGAGGCAACCTCAGGTAGGAAGAAGTTATTCACAAAACACAATTAATCATGAATTAATAATATCTAGAGTGTTTAAAGAATGCCTCCAAATCAACAGGAAAAAGGTAGCCCAATCAAAAAATGGGTAAAGGATAATAAAAGGCAATTCACAGAAGAGGAATCTAATGGTCCATAACATGAAAGATGCCCAACCTTTCTAGTATTCAGTAGTCAGATATAAAACATAAGTTTTACTGCTTGTGATAGAGACCTAAAATAACAGTGGCCTAAAAAAAGATAGCTTATTTCTCTCAGAAGTAAAAGTCTAGGCTGGTAGGATGGCTGTGCTCCATGAATTCATCAAAGTTATGTGACTCTTTGGTAAAAAACCAAGGCACTTTCTGTCCTGTTATTCTGCCATCCCAAGGATGTTGCTTTTGTCTATGGGGTCCAGGGTGGTTTACCACCACGTCTGCATTTTGGTCTGTGGAAAGTGGGAAAAGGGAATGTGAAGGGGGGTGGCACTCAATTACACACATTATTTCTCATAAACCACGTATCCTCACCTTGCTGCAAGAAGCCTGGGAAATACAGTCAGTTTTTATTCTGGGTGGTCCTTTGTCCATCTAAAAATTGAATTTTCTGTAGTGGAAGGCAAGAAGTTTTGGGAAGCAGTCTCTACTACATCTGGTAAATGAAGCATATTTCACATTCATTTGATTAGTAAAAAATTAAACTTTTGAGAACAAGTGTTGGCAATGATGTGGAGCAAAATGAATTCTTATGTCCTGTTTGTGGAGCATACAATCAGTTTGGAAAACAATTTGACAATAGGTTGAAGATATGTATATTCTCTGAGGAAGGCTCTGTTTCTGGGAACAGAAACCCTTAAGGAAACTCTTCCACATGTGCACAAGTGGACATGTACAAGAATGAGTTCAATACTGTTTGAATTATCAAAATAATTAGGAAAATTTAAATGTCCATTAACAAGAGAGTGGATTAATTGTGGTATATTCATATGATGGAATTCTACACAAGAGTGAAAATGAATGAAGTAGACTACATGTATCATCAGTGGATAAATCTTAAAAATATAATGTTAAGACATGAAAGCAAGTTGTGGAAAGCTATGTGCAATAAAATTTCAAAAACGCAAAACACCTCTATGTATTGTGTACAGAAATATATGTACTGTATTTGCAGGGATCCGACAAATAGCCCCCCTTTTTCCTGCCCAATTTCTGAACCAGTTGAGAAATCAAACGAGTTAGCAGACGAAAACCAAAATATCACCTTCATTACTAATAAGGGACAGAAGTAAAGGCTATGGCTTAATATGAGAACTGAAATGGTCCCTCTAACTCCCTACTGCCAGTGCAGAATTTTGAGTTCACCTGTAGGAAAGTTTGCAGAGCAAATTCGACCTCCCCACCCTTCTGGTCACTACCTCTCAGCAACCAGGTAGAGAGGAGGAAGAGATTAAATCTCTTACCCTCAGGACATATTATTTGATATATCCACCTAGCCCAGAACCATGAACAATTGTCACAGAACAGACCAGGGTGGGGCAAAGATCCAAGAGGGTTTAAGGGAAACCTCTTTTTAAGGAAACCAAGGAAATGGGCAGAGGTATCCTAACACACATGAGAATTGTTAAGAACTATTGTAAATTCAACCTAATCATTACTCCTAAGGCAGTGGTTCTTCACTCTAGCTTGTATATGAATCACCTGGAGGGCTTGTTAAAACACAGAGGGCTAGACCCCACTCCTAGAGCTTCTGATTCAGTTTGTCTGGGATGGGGCCCAAGAACTGGCATTTCTGACACGTTCACAGTTGATGCTGATGCTATTAGTCTGGTGGCCACACTTTGACAACCACTGCCTTAGGGTGAGGGGAGGAAAAGAAATGGTATCAAGGAAAGGTAAGCAGAAAGTTGTAATTATATTTTCTTATTAAATTATATATTTAATTAATTACATATAATTAAAACATAAAAATTATGTTTTATTTCATGAGCTGAGTGGGGGTATGTGGGTGCTATTATTTTCTACATTATCTTTTTAATCAAAGTAATGAAATATTTCCACATACAAAAGCAATATTGGAGTATATAACACTCTGGAAAATGCTGCCTTAATACTTACAAATCAGCTGATTACTTAGAATTTGGAGGAGTAACATGTTAAATTCAGACTAATTTGAAATAGGTATGCTAAAATGTATTTTGATAGGTTAAATGATTACCAATATAAAGCAATAATTGTTACTACTTGTTTCAATTTTTTAGATCTTTCAAATTGTTCCTGTATTTTCTAATGGTTTTTAATCAGAAATATTTGATCAAGTGTTTCCCAATAAGTTCTTCAGCTTAACATACAAAACCCACTCTCTTAAAATATGTAAGGGCCGGCCGAGTGGCTCAGTTGGTTAAGAGCTCGCTCAAGAGTTTGAGCTCTGAGCAACAGCAGTTCGAGTCCAGCCCGAGCTGAGCAGCCGCTGAGCTGCCAACAGGTAGCAGGATGGCTCAGCTTAAAAAAAAATAAAAATAAAAAAAAATAAAATATGTAATGTTTTACTTTGTTTTATTTTATTATTTATTTTTATTGAAGTATAATGGAAATAGAACATATTAGTTTCTGGTGTACAACATAAAGACTCAATATTTCTATATATTGAAAAATGATCACCAAAATATCCCACCTTCCTGAAAAACAGTGTAGCAGATGGTGTAAAAAGCTTTTAAAATATTTATACTTTTTACCTCAGGAATTTCACTTTCAGTCCTCTACCCAAAGAAATGATCTGAAATGCCAACAAAGATTTGGGCACAAAATGCTCATTATAGCATTACTTAAAACAAGGGGATGTTTTAAGTGATGATGTGATCTAAATATTCAATTATAAGAGAATAGTCATTTGTGGGTTATTATGCCACAAAATAGTATCTTTTACAATTATTTTTGAAAAACCTTATGAAATGAGAACATTCTTAAGTTATAATTTAATATAAAATTTGCATATGTATACTGTGTATATTTATTGTATAGTTTCAAATATGTGCATAGAAAATGACCAAAATATTATCTTTTAATGATGGAATTATGCATGATTTTATTTTTTATATTTTTCTATTTTAAGAAAATATACAATAAAACCTTATTTTAAAAAGAAACTTCTTGCAAAATAAATATATTATCATGTAATATTAAAGCTCGGTCCATATATATATTTTCTGACTTTCCAGAAATTTTCACATAAAATGCATGAGGTTATCTCACAAACAATTTAAAATATATTTAAACAATAACACTGTTTAAAACTCTTTCATCACACTATTCAGAAATTCTGGTATCCTTTTCAAGCAAATTATTCCTCATAGTGATGAATTTCATATTTAATTTATAGCCTTCATTATAAATTTTGCTAACCTTATCCAATTAAAATATTTATTGGGCTCTTTCTTAAATAGCCTTTTAAATTTTTTATTGTATAGATTGATTGCCTAAAGTAGTATTTCTTAACCATATTTTCATGATCACCTCCCTAAGGAGCCTTTGTAGACATTTTTTTCCCCTAATTGTCCCCCACCCCATGAAATTTTAATATCTGCTAATGTACTATATGTATATCCATGGCTTATATATATAAAGAGTAAGATTTTTTTCACTCTCCCAAGAACCAATTTTCACCCCTTTGGTGGTGATACTCCCCCATTTTAGAATGTGTGGCCTAAAGGAACATTATGGAAAAATGTTATTTTTAACCTTTAAAATGAGTCTGAAGCCCACGTATTTTGTTTTTATAGTTGCCTGCCCCTCAAACATCACATGGTGACCACTCCAACACTACTACTGTGGGGAGAGAAAGACGCATTCATGGAGGTTGAGATGGCTGAAGTCACAAAGATTTATGTTAAAAACTATTTCAGGCTAACTATTTTGTCAGAAGCCAGTCATTGGCTTCAGCAAGAACAACCTGACATAGTGAACAAATTGATATGGACATTTCTAAAAGAAGAAACAAGAAAAAAAGATTGACTTTTCTATATCTTCTGTGAGGAGTCTGTAGTAAAATCTCTAAATAATTTTTTTTAATTGTTCATCAACTTCTTTAAGCTTCATTAGGAAAAAAATTTGTTTTAACATTCTTTATCATAAATAAATATCCTGACAAATGGTATTGAAAAATATCTGAGAATGTGTGAACTTATAATATAATGTTGATTTTCTTCTGTTGTGTTTTACACAGAAAAGCATCTGCCTTAAAATGTATACACTTGTACAAAAAGGAAGTTGAGGAAAGTGGCTCAGCTTTGGTTTCTTGTGTTCTTTACCCTGTTAACATATGGTGCCTTTCACATATGTATATTAAAGATTAGCCATATTAAAAGGCAAACCTGCAGTGGTATAAATTTTCATTTTATTGTTCAAAAGTTCTTTTTACTATTTTTAACCATTAAAAATTCTATTATCAAATCTCTTGGATTTATACTATATTTATTATTTTGAAAGCAAATATGACTAGATGAACATGCATTCTTAAAACAGGCCATAAATACTACTTATACTGGGAAGATTAACAAGAGATTATGTGAAGATTCTTATATATATATTAAACATTGCAAAGTAGAGAAGCACATCCTTTAAATTACTTGCCTTAACTGGCTAAATTGGTGAGAGATTTAGAGAAAGGATCAAAATGTCCTTTTGCCCCATTCAATGAAACAAGAATTGAATACTGTACTTCCTATGCAAACTAGAATCTAAATTCCACAGGGCAGAGATTATTCTTTTTATTGTTTTATTAACTGACATATATCCAGCATCTAGAATTAGGTGCTCGAAAAGAAAGATGACATGGTAATATGAAACTTTCCCTTAAGAAGCATACACAGAATGCAGTTAAATTAAACATGGGTTCAAGAAGAGTGGTGAAGACACAAATAACAATGGGAAGAGTTACAGAATAGAGAATGATACCAGCACAAGGGACTACTCGTTCTCTTGCGTTGCTTTCCTTGGCAAGGGAGACAACCAGTGACATTGCCAAATCATGGCCCCTTAGAGATTACAACTGTATTCCCAAGTAAGACAAAGTTGGTGAAAAGACTATTTCCCTCATTAGTTCTGGTAGTGACAGAAGAAAGCAGAATGTCCCTGAGAGTTCTCATCATTGTATCCTAGCAACTTATATTTACTAATAAAAGACCAATTGTTTATATACATTATACTTGTGCCTCATAACAACATTGCAAGGTAGGAAGTATTACCAATTTACAGATGTGAAAAGAGATTGGCCAATGACCACAGTGTAAGTGTTGGAACCAGGATCTGATCTAGATCCATCTGGTTGGAAGACCCATAATCTCTGCACTATCACATTCTATTTAATAGGCTCTGGTATCCACACTGCTCTTCCTGTTTATTGGCAACTTGGTGTGCTCCAATGAATAAAAGCATCTCTCAGAAACCTTCAATTTGATATTTAATCCCTAGAAAAGGACTTTAAATTAGCAATCAGCAAACACGGGAATATTGTATAATATACGGCATTGTCAGAGATGCAGAGATACAAGGTATAGAGGGGAGCCTGGTTCATGACAACTTTGATTATGCTTCCCTCTTGATCGTTTCCAAAGGGCAGCAACAAAGGGAAGGGACAGGACTTCACTGACTGTGTGTTGATGCATTAAAGTAATCCTGACTTATTTTAATGAAAACCTGTTACTGACAAAAGTGATTTTAGGGTTTGTGGTTATTAGTTATGTCAGTTTGGAATGCTGACTGGTTCATGTGGAGTATTGTTAAGAATATTAATCAAACATGCCATGGTTAATTTTGGCCCATGGTAATGGATGTATTCTAATTTTCAATGGATGTGGAATTGTGTAACAGATATAAAAGCTCCAGGGTGCTGTCAGTTAAACCTCTCAGCATAAAGAGATATTATTGTCTCTGTAGAAATCAATTAATAGGAAGAGAAAATGAATATGACTTACCAGCTGCCAAAGCATCTCCCAGTAAGTACACTATACTAGTAACAGCATTTAAGAAGTTGTAATTAATATTCATCTACTTAAATTAATATATCCCTTGTAGGTATATTATACATGCTTAATATAAACATCAGAAATTGTTATGTGAAAATAATTTATTAAGCATATATCAAAAGGAAGACGTTTACAAAAAACAAAAAAGATTGTACTGTTGATATGGCTCTCATCCTTCTGTTATCTCATTTACCATTTTTAATTTTTGGATTTTAAAGAGAATACATCATTTCCTATTAACCCACAATTGCCTGTAAGAATTCTAATTATGTGCGAACAGAGAGAGCACTTGAATATGGGGGAAAGGGTGCGTTCTGGAGGCTGTCCCCAGATCCAAGCTATTCGCATCCTGAGACTCAGACAGTCGGCCCCATGTCTCAGCAGTCCTCAGACTGGGAGCTGGAGGAGTGTGAGTCCGTCCTCAGCCTGAGGAGGAGCAAGTCCTTGTACTCGCCAGCGGTGGCCAACCCATTCGTGCAGCAGACGCACATCAGCGCATGGCGCTGGGCCTACATCATCCTCATGGGGACTCTGCTGGTGCCGGTGCGAGTGGCCTGCATCGCCTTCCTCTTCATCTTCCTCTGGCCGGTGGCCGTGCTTTGCACCATAGGCCTTTCTGCTCACCCAGCCAAGCCAGCCAAGAGATGGAGAAGAAAACTGGCGCAACCAGCTCTCAAATTCCTGTTTCAGGCGACATTCTTTTCAGCAGGGTTTCTGGTTAAAGTGAAAGGGAAAAAGGCAACCCGAGACGAGGCCCCCATTTTCGTTACAGCCCCGCACTCCACTTTCTTTGATGCGATCGCCTGTGTTGTGGCAGGGTTACCCTCTGTGGTCTCTGCAAGTCAAAACGCACAGATCCCAGTGGCTGGGAAATTCTTACTGTCAACGCAGCCCGTGCTTGTGACCCGAGAGGACCCCAATTCCAGGAAGACTACCCGGAACGAAATCCTCAAGCGAGTGACATCCAAAAGGAAGTGGCCACAGATCCTGATTTTCCCGGAAGGAGTGTGTACCAATCGCACGTGTCTGGTCACTTTTAAACTAGGGGCCTTCTCCCCAGGTGTTCCTGTACAGCCAGTTCTGCTCAGGTACCCAAACACCCTGGATACAGTGACCTGGACCTGGCAGGGGTTCACAGGCTTCCAGGCCTGTATGTTGACCCTGAGTCAACTCTTCACCAGGGTAGAAGTTGAGTTTATGCCTGTTTACATCCCAAATGATCAAGAAAAAAAAGACCCCATCCTTTTTGCCAATACAGTGAGGATCAACATGGCAAATGCTCTGGGGGTGCCTGTGACAGACCACACTTATGCAGATGGCAGACTGATGATTACCACAGGTAACCTTCAACTGCCCATGGAAACTAGCTTGGTGGAGTTTACAAAACTTAGCCAGAAATTGAAGTTAGATTGGGATAATATTCACCAGCATTTGGATGAATATGCTGCAATTGCAGTCACTTCAAAAGGAGGGAAGATAGGAATTGAAGAATTTGCAAATTATTTAAAACTCCCAATTTCAGAGCCCCTGAGACAACTTTTTGCCCTTTTTGACAGGAAGAATGATGGCAGCATAGACTTCAGAGAATATGTGATAGTTCTGACTGTCTTATGTAATCCTGCCAACACTGAAAAGATTCTGCAAATGTCGTTTAAGCTTTTTGATCTTGATGAGGATGGTTTCATAACAGAACAGGAGCTGGCTGCTATACTTCAGGCGGCTTTTGGAGTACCAGATCTTGATGTTTCCAGACTCTTTCAGGAAATAGCTGGACAGAACTCAGAGATCATTTCATACAAGAACTTGAAGAAATTTGCCTTGAAGCACCCAGAATATGCCAAGTTATTTAATTCATACTTAGATCTCCAGGCAGCCTATGTATGTGCATTACCACAAGTATAGGTTTAATCGCTGTATTCAAATGTTAAAGTCAGCCCTGAAAATGGTGACAGTACCTTCCAGGTAGAAACTTTGATTGAAATAAAAAATTATTCTTTGAGGAAAAATACCACAATTTTTACTCTAAGTGGCCTGGGCACTTAATTATGATATTTAAAATATGCTTGAAGAATATATATTTCAATTAGATTTTATAATACCTACTTTTTTCTTTCTTAAGATAATATATTTGTTTCAATATAACCTAACAGTAGAAGTATAAAAAAATCTAATCATAAACCTTGTTCATCCAGCATGGTTCTAATTAGTGCTTTTATTTTGCTAAAGTAAGGCCAGAAATACATTATAGCCCATCACCTCTCCCTCATTTTTGCAGAGAAAAGATCTTATTAAGAGCTCCACTGTCAGTAAATAATCATTTGTATTGTATTCTCTCTAAAAAGGATTTGCTGGATAAATTCCTCTTTATTCTTTCTAAAAATAGTTCAAATGTTCCTATTTTACAGAACAAAATAAAAATAAGAGGAAGATATAGTGTTAGAAATACCATTGAAACAGTAATAATTGTTATGGCTGACCTTTATTATTATTTTTAGGTATGAGAATGATTATTTAGAATGAGAAATCACAATAGACTACAATTTCTGGAAAGATAATATCACAAATACAGGTTATAAATACAGGAATTTTGGCAAATTCTATGATTCTCAAAAAGGAAAAATTTATGTTCATAATTGCATGTTCTGCATTACTGAGAATATTCTTTTCGTTCTGACTAGGCACCAACTGAAGCCTCTACTTACTGTTGTATAACTCCCTCACTACCCATACACTTCCAGCACCCTTTGCTGTAAGACATTTTCACATAGTGCTGTGTCCTTGGGCTCTATCCCTTCATGACACCATGCAGGATGAAGCAGTGATATATTCCTAGAAGCCATTTCTACACCTGGACATGGAACAACAACTTATCTAAACATAGAAGTGATTGTGAACCAATAAATATGCCTTGCTAACCCAAACTACTATATCTCCAACTTAGTTTCATTGTGGCTAAATCCCAAAAATGCCTGCAGCCCCTCTGTGTCACCAGATATTAGGAGACCTTTGACTAAGGGGACAGAAAGTCTTGATCACTTGTGGTCAAAATCTCTTACTTTTGTAAACTTTACAAAAACATACCCAAGTAGACACATTTCTAGGGACCCTATTAGGGACTTGAAATGGACTTACGCAAGTGGGGCCCCTAAATCTTAAACTTCATTAGTTTCTTGGTATTTTGAGTAGAAAGGAAGAAGAGATATCTGAATGGAAGAAAGGTGAACAGATGGGAAAAGCTTAACAAAAGGGAAAGAAAAAAAATTGAATATTGTTTTGAGATCATTTGCATGTAGTCCTCACCTGAGAAAAAGAGATGGATAAGTGATATTTCATAACCCCACTGTCTTTGTCTGGGCTGCAATAATAAAAATACCATGACTGGGTGGTTTAAAATAACCAGTTCTGAAGGCTGGGAAGTTCAAGATCAATGCACTGGCAGATTTAATGTCTGGTGAGAGTCTGCTTCCTGGTGCATAGATGGCTATCTTCTATGTCTTCACCTGGTAAAAGAGGCAAGGCAGCCCTCTCCAGTCGTTCATATCGGCACTAATCCAATTCATGAGGCTTCCGCCCTCATGACCTGATCACCTCCCAAAGCCTCCACCTCAAAATACTATCACATAGGGGATTAGGTTTCCACATATGAATTTTGGGGAGACACAAATATTCAGTCTATAGCACCCACCTAGCTTGATATTCCCATGATAATATTGCCTATACATGTAATTAAAAGACAATGATTTTTAAGATGTACTGGAATATAGTCATGTAAATAAGAGATTTTCACTTAAAAGTAGTTATCAAGGTATATCTTTATTCAAACAATGATTCTATTACTCAAACGTGCTTAACTTTAAAATTGTTTCTAATTATTGGGTTGTCAGAAAAGTCATGATGTATTTTTTCTGTTTTTCGTTGCAAAAATGCGTCATGACTTTTCCAACAACCCAATATATAACGAGCTATACAACAAACCAGGGTCATTATTATACCCTACCTTTTAATCTCAAAATGTTAACATACCTTTATTTAAACACTTTAATACATAACACTTAACAAGTCTTTTTATTATAAAACAAACAAAACCATATAAAACAAATCTGTAGCTAATAATTATTATTATTATATAAGTATATTATATATTAAGTAAATATAATTTTTTAAAGATTTTATTGGGGAATTGGAGGAGGGGAACAGACAAGTTGCTGTCCTTTTGTTCTTCAGTCTAGTTGTGGAGGACATCGCTTCACTGGACCGTGTTGGTATTATCATTGCGCTCTTCCCGGGTGAGGCAGATCGGTTGCTGGCCATTGGACGGCTGCTCATGGCAGCTCTTGGCCACTCAAGCTGGCTGCCAGCCACTCACGGTAGCTTATGGAAGCTCACTGCAGTCTCACTGAAGCCTATGCCATCCACTCATGGCAGCCAAGCTCCAGGTTAAGCTATTGTTCAACACCTTAGCTGTAGAGGGCGCAGTATCACTGGTCCTAATGTGGGATCCAAACCGGGGCCCTGCTGCTCAGAGCTGGCGTCCCAAGCCAACTCTTAACCAACGTGCCACTCAGCCGGCCCAATATAATCTTTCTTAAGATGAACATTCTTGCAACTAACAGATCAAGACATAAAACTTTTCCAGTCACCCTACAAGCTCCTCTATGCCCCTAATCATAATTACAACCTCCTCCTTCCTTCTAAAATTCAACTACTTTCCTGATTTTTACATTTTCACTTCCTGTGTTTCTTTACATTTTTATCATTTAAATGTGCATACTTCTTATCTGTAAATTGGGCTCATAGCAGTACCTATCTAAATGGTGGTTGTGAGAATTGAGTTAATACATATAAGCAGGTAGAGTTTTCTCGCCTAATAAGCATCCAATAAACATTAACTATTATATTATCTCTGACACTCTTTTTCTACAGGAAAAATTAAGAATCAATTATCCACAGCGCCGGCTGAGTGGCTCAGTTGGTTAAGAGCTCGCTCAACAGTTTGAGCTCTGAGCAACAGCAGTTTGAGTCCCAGCCGGAGCTGAGCAGCCACTGAGCTGCCAACAGACGGCAGGATGACTCAGGGGGAAAAAAAATCAATTATCCAGTTACATTTTTCAAAATTAAGATTCTGAATAATTGAGAAGGGCATTCATTATCTGGAGAAATGACTACTACTTAGCCAATCTTATGGCACAAGGTCCATATATTTTCCAAGCAATCAGTATTTGTTCGTTACCTGAATGAAGCAGAACAATAGTGCCTTCTTCCTTTGGAGGAAGTTTTTTTTTTTTAATCAAAACAAAACCAAAAACCCTAAAAGACCTTTGAAATGCGTCTACTATATTTAAAATTCTGTAATCCATCAATCCACCCGCTTTCCTGCTCAAAGGTTCCGCCCCCTACAACCTTAACTACTCTTTCTCTTCCTCGTCATAAATTTTGTCTTTATATGTAAAGTGTGGTAATATAAGCTGGCATATCTCAGCTTAAGTCCAAGAGCAGTTATATGCGCACCTCTAAAGGTTGTGCACACGCTTTGCAGGGACTCCGGACTGTTCTGACTCCGAATGATTTTATGAAGTTCTACCCGGCGCCTTCGCACCCCCAATTTTTCTTGCCAAAGCACTTGAGTCAGGGAGTGCGACTCGCCGCAAGAAAGTCTTGTGACCCTGTCTTTTCTGGGGGGTGGGAGAGGGAAGGAACCCTGAAATCCCAGGGAGACAGTGTACAAAGGCTGCACCGGTTGATTTAAACAGGGCCCTCTAAAACACGTATTAAACGAATGGTTAGCACCAACCGGAAAGTAAAGAAGGGTAACAGGTACACAGAGCCGCAGGAATTGGACTGTTGACCCTCTGCGCAAAGAGGGGCGGAGTACAGGCCGGCAGAGGTAAACAGAGCTACGACGCCTGCGCACAGCCTCCTTGGGTCACGTGCCGGCGCGGCCCCGGCCTCCGGGGTTTCCCGGGACCGCTGTCCAGCTGCGTGTCGGGGACCGTTTACAAACTGACTGGAGGCGTGAACCTTCCCCTTAGGGGGAGGATTCGGGTAGGAGCCGAGCGTTCAGTCGGGAGCTCTCCTTCCTGAGGCGGGGAGCGAGGCCGTGTGCTGGGCCTGCGGGGCGCCGCCGTACCTTTGCGGAACATGGCCCGTTGTGGGCAGGGTAGCACGGTCCCCGTGGTACTTCTGGAACCTCCTGCAGTTTGCAGTAAGGGGTTGCAAAGGAAGGGGATGTGTGAGCGGCGCCGGCTGAAGGCGATGGTGTCGGAGCAGCTCAGCCAGGATCTGCTCAGGTAGGAGGAGGCGGAAACTCTGGCTGCTTCAGTTCTTAAGGCGCCCACCTCCGCGGCAGAAGCTGTGGCTCCTTCTGGGTGTCTGGATTCCTCCCCTCCCTATTCTCGCCTCAGGCTGCGGAGGGACGTTCACCAGTCTCCTCACTTCGAAACGGGTTCACAGTCCCTAAGTAACCAATCCCGGGCACCTTGAAGACCACGCACCAGGTTCAAAAAGAAAACCAAGGTTAATCCAGTTATGTGCAGCACCAGTTTATACCACAATACTCTTAACACCGGCAGGCTGAGTTCTTTGAAAGACATGTGTCTAAGGTTGGGGTGCTTCCACGTTTCGTGGTCCTGAAACGTACACAATTTTTTATAAGTTTAAACAATTTTAAGAAAAATGATACAATTAGGCAGGAAAAAAAAAGTTTATTTAGAGTGAGGAAAAATAGAACAAACTGCTGGAGCCGTGGAAGTCACTTCTGAGCTCCCTTTAAACAATTTGTCAAAAATGCTTACAAAGGAACACTTGCTGATGGCAACCTGGCTTCCCCTCTCCACCTAGAACACACTACAGCTCCCAGCAAACCCCAGCTCCCACAAAGACTCAAGCAAATGGAGGGTTGTGAAGCTTAACCCAGGATTTGGTGAATCCATCTAATATCACCTTGGTTTATAAAGAAAACTGAGCTTACAAACATTCCCTAGCTACTGTAATTTCCATTTCCACCAAAACATTGATTCTTGAACTTTAGTGT